AAGCTCAGCACACATTTGCTGTTTTGCAGATAGGAACAGTGTAAAAGTGGTGGTTTCAGATAAGATCAAAGGTCAGACAAGTTGCATTTCCTATTTCTGAAGAGGAACAAGCTGCACTTTTTGCCCGGTTATGGGAAACACTGATAGAGTCAGTCCAAATCCACAGTAATCCTTATCTGTTATATTAGCTTCACTTTCAGGAGTCAAAAGTATGCTCAAAAACTTCATCTGGGCCATGGTGTTCAGTACACATTTGTGTAACTGCTTTCCATTTTGTTTTGAAACCACGGGAACCACTGAAGGTGGGTTAGTGAACAACTAATTCCTTTGTATTTTAAATCTACTATCTTAATTGTTTTTTGGATTTTTTTTTAATAGTCCTTATGATATGAAAAATATTTTAAGAGGTAAAGAGCATATTGAGAGAAAATTATGGAGCAGAACCTGGCTTTCAGGAAGGTAGAAGTTAATGCTGGAAAGTGTCAATAAAATCATTCACGAAGAGATACGGTATCTATTTACTGTTTTTAGATATTAGATATTTTACATATTTAATCTGTTTTAATATTTAATCAAAAGATTTCTGAAACACTGTCATGTGTGTTGTGAATAGTGGTTGTTCAATGGTGGTATGGGCTGATTCTGTGAGACAGTGTTGCATGGTAAGAGTGGTACAGGGAGACAGAATCAGCTGTGGGAGAGAAGATTTGAGAAAATGCTTTTGTTTGTAGGCAGTAGGAAATGAGAGTTCTCAAACAAGGGTGTTGCTTCTGTGCAGACTGGCAGCAGCTCAGCACAGATGTACTCACACAAATAGCTGGCTGCCTGCGTGTGGTTCTCCCTGTGCAGATACATTTTCCATATTTTGCATATCTGCAAAATTTCAGCAACTCCAATAGTGCACTCAAATGACTTTAAGTGACTTAAGGTGTCAGTCAGCTAAGTGAATCGTGTAGTTTTTAAAGACACTGTACATGTACACAGCACAGAATTTCTCTGTGTTATTAGTGCAGATTTACAGTTGTAGTTCCCTGTTTCCATTAGGACTTCCACATTTACTCACATAAGTGAACACAGATGGGGGTTAAGAAGAGTGCTATCCTATGACAGCCTGGAGTACATAAGTAACAGGTGTTTTCTTTCCATGTTTTCTTCACACCTAAGTTACAAGCTGAAGCTTTGAGAGGTTGAGAGAAAACTATAATGTGCATTTTTAAGGACAGGTGAAAAATAAACACATTTTGGAAACTACACTGGGAAAAAACTTCCTAGGAAAAGGTGGTTGCCAGAAGGCTTTTAGGTTCATATTGTAGTATGAGATACAAATTTAAATCTTTACTTTCTGACCTGGGCTCTAGTGATTACACTGCTGTCTTGGTATGTGTTTTTCCTTCCCAGTTAAAATGGCATGAAAGATACTGAGTGACAAGCTGCCAGTTGAGCAGGAATTTTGTCTTTACTGGGATCTTTGGATACTTTATCAGTACGTGTGTTTAATATCACTGCAATACCCATATATTAAAGTGAATCAATTAATACATGGGCGATCCTAAAAAGCATAATTTGGAATTTAATCAAATATCTTTGTGTTTTCCCTTTCCTACCCAATCAGTCCTTCAGATGGTTGTCTGTACTTAAATAGTAATATTGAGCAAGTAGTAGTTTCTCAGAACCCAGCTCTGGACAGCAGTAGAAAAACAGACACAGTTTCAGATGTGATTGTTTATTCAGATTTTTCTATCTGTGAAATCCAACCAGATGACTGAGATAACTAAAAAAGCCCTAACAGCTGAAACTATACAAAATACTAGTTGAACATCATATGTGTTCCAAATCAGAATCAGTGGAATGCACATAAAGATGGGAGCTACTGAGGGAGAGGTTGGATAGCAGTGAGCAGAATGGAAAATCATGTGAAATATAATTCAAACTCAGGATGCGGTTGTGGCTTCTTTATAGCCTGCAAATGAGGAAGTGGTTGACAAGTGTTAAAACTCATGATTTTATCTCTGTAATCTCACAAGGGGGTTTAGTGGGCAGGGTGTTGGCTTTTTCCTTTGTTCTTTTTTTAACACTGGTTTCTTCTTAATGGGAGAAATAAAACAGGTAAACATATAAGAAAGACTGTGTCACTGGTCTTTAGTAGATTGCAAATACAATGTATTAAATGGGAATGAAATAGTACTTATTTTTGAACAGCTAAGCAAATTCTTATTTCACAGTATGCACTGGACAGAGGGATTTTTTAATCCTTTCTAATCTTAAACTCAAAGGTGGAGTGCTATGTTCAGTAGAACGTAGAAACACTCGAGCAGTTTTCATAATTATAATTCATTTGCAGTTTGTTCTGCAGAATTGAAAGCATTTGTTCTGTTCTGGATTTATAATAAGCAGTTGATGAGTTGTTATGTAGTGTTAAAGTAGCTCCTGCATTTTCAGCTGAAGAGGAAGTTGGATCTGTTGATAAACCCTACATTATGATGAGGTTTATAAGAGCTGTAGTGAACCTTAAATGTGCGTAACAGTGAATTTTAGGTTTTTCAATGTCTTGCACTCTTTAGCAATATTAAATTTAAATGTGCATGAGTATAAATCATGCTATTAACTTCTGTTGCCATTGCTGCTTCCACCTGAGCTTTTTAGCCTCTTTTGGCAGTGAGAGCACACCCTTGGGGTGCTGAGGGTGCATAGCACGTACTGGTAGCAAGAGCATTTCTACATACAGATATCATTTTAGAACATGTGAACACTTTGAGTGTTTGCAGAGTAATGTTTCATGATATTACAGTAGCTTTGGTAGATCAGCTTTTTTGTGTCAGTATGAGAAGAAAAGTAAAACTTGCATGCCTGTGTCATCGTGAGCCGCTCATAGGCATTCAATGGAAAGACATAATCTATTTTTGGTCTTGGATGTGGACTCAGACCGTGCATAAATTCAAAAAATTCCCAAACAAGGATGCCCAGAAGAGAAGCCAAACAAAACTACAAAACACTCACAGACATAACTTAAACCTTATATTTAAGCATTCCTTTGGGAATTAACTGTTCATTAAAGCATCAGAATGCAATAATGCAAAGATAATCTCACGCTCCATAGATTTTATGTTAAGTAACAGAGGCTTAAAGCTGTTGTTGCTTTTCAGAAGACTGAGTGGTTTTGTAGCTAATGAAGGTGAAGTAAGATGAGGGAAAGGCTGTGAATAAATCTCAAGGAAGATGTGTTCAAAATAAGTGTTTTGTTCATGGTCTGCTGTCAAAAGCAAGACAGATGTGTATTCATTTGGTTGATTTTGGTAGTGTTTCCTGTAAGAAGGAATCCAGGATTAGAAGTAATGGGAGAAATTAAATGAGAACACCTTGTGATTTAAAGCATTAATAAATACATTTAAAATGCCAGGCAGTGTGTGAGACAATTGCTTCTATTTACCTGTTGTTTTCTAAAGCAAAAGAAACTGTTACAAAAATGGATTTCAAGCAATAAGGCTTCTTTCATTAAGCCCATTCTAGTTGTTGTTAAAAGTCAAGCAAGGTAAGAAGGAAATTAATTGTTGTAAAGATGTTGCCACAGAAGCCATCTCATTCTGTTTCACATGGTTTAGCACCACGTCTTGTCTTCTTGTTAGGACAGAGTTGTGTTCATCTCCTGATTTTTTCGTCTGAGGAATTCATTTTCTTTTTGTCTCTCTCCCATTTAGAAAACTTACTGGTGAACAGTTTCTTACTTTACTGTGTGCAGATAAAGGGTGGAATATGGTAATAACGAAAGCAGTAACAGCAGCTGAGCAGAATAATCACCTCAGATTTGTTTGCTGCTGGGGACATCAGATGGCTGACTCAGAATAGTACCTATCTACAAATAAGTACAAATCTAAAAGTTGTGCTGTTGTACTCTTTTGTATTTGGAAGTCCACTCTACAGTATGCCACAGAGAAGCATCCCTGATGTTGGTACATCCTGTAGTTTATCTGTATCTTTTTGATTTATTTTATTACTCCTGAAAGAAAAATATTTTTTTATGCTTCAGTGTTAGAAACAGAAAATATGAAAATGAATGGAGGGTGATGTGCAAAAACAGGAAGAATCTTAAAGTTAAGCCTTACAGGATAAATTCTTAATGAGAGGATTGGTTTGATTTCTTATTACAGCTTTGTTTACTCATGCGAAACGAAATTGAATCACAGAGGTCATCAATGTTATACAAAAGCATAAAAATATATTTTTTAAATTCTCTACAAGAGAAATTTGAAAGTATTGGAAGCTTGTTGTGAGAAAAATATGTTAGTGTATCAGCTGGATTTCATGGTTTGCTAATAAAATGGCTGCTCTGCTAGAAGACAGTTTATTTTAAAACATTCCATTTTGACATACAAATGACAGCGTCTTCCTAACTAAGTGTTTCAGAACAGGACAATAAAAGAGATGCCTTTCTTGAAAGCTAAACTAAACCAAAAATTTACAGCCTTCTCTTTGCTCTTATTGGCTCTGTTCAACTGGTTTGTCAGCAGGTCTCGTGCAGATGAGATTCTCCAGCAGAGACAGTTAACTCTGCTTTTTTATAGTATTGTGTAATGCTCAAATTCTTTATTCAATCTGTAGGAAATTTCCTATAAATCCCAGACAATGTAAGTACTTTACTGTAAGGAGGAATAATGTAAAACAAACAAACAAAAGTCTGACAGAAACAAATCTGTCATCTTTATTGATTTGCACGAGAAATATTGATAGTTTCCTATTTTAAGTGGTTTGTACAGTCTGCTAATTATGTTGGATTTATGTAGATGGGAATGCCAGTCTTAAACCAAAGGAATTATTATATTTAGATAGTTTCAGGTGATTATTTAAAAGCTAATGTGAAATGAATGGGTCCTTTGATGGGTCAGGTCACTTTTTCTTTTTTTTTTTTTTTTTTTTTTGAATCCTTAGTTATTTTGGAATGTTTTTACAGAGAAATAATTTTGTCATGCAAAAAACATTGTATTAATCTTGTTTTTCTCTTACAGGGCAGCACAACTATTTATGTGCTGGAAGAAATGACTGCATAGTTGATAAAATTCGTAGGAAGAATTGTCCAGCGTGTCGCTTGAGGAAGTGCTGTCAAGCTGGAATGGTCCTGGGAGGTGAGCTGCTTTCCACATCTCACTTGGAGTAATAGGCAGTCAAGAAACTTCACTCTCTTGAGTTTAATCTCGATTTGATGCTGTAAAGGAAGGAACCACATCAAAATGGTATTCTTGGAAGGATTACCTGATGTTCAAAATAATTTTAATTCTTTCCTTGTAATTTTTCTTTAATGAAAGTCTGGAAATGTTGGAGCAAAAATAACTTTCTGTATGAACTGGTGATGTATACTTACATTCATTTTCTTGAAACAGGAGGAATTGTATTTTTTGTGTTTATTTATTAATAGTCCTGAATCATTTGATAAGAAAAGCAAACAGATCAACACAAAATCTGCTGTAGGGAACCTGCTTTGGCAGGGGGTTGGACTTGATGATCTCTGGAGGTCCCTTCCAACCCCTACAATTCTGTGATTCTGTGATCAGAGATCAGTACTCTCTCTGCTTTTCTGCTGAGCTCATCATTGCTTTGTATAGAATTCAACAGTTTTTTTTTATCCTTCTTTTCCACTGGAGGGGCTTAAGCAGTGATTGTAGCAACGCAATAGACTTGTGCATACTAGGTACTGGGAATTCCTGTCTTCATATTATGTCTTGCTGTAACAGATTTGTTTTTTAACATAACATTAATCTGTGTTGAGTCCTCTGTCTTCAGGAGCACAGGGAGTAAATGGTACAAGGTCATGTAGTTACTTGACAAGTTTTGCTATACTAATATGCAGGAATAATATGTTTTTTTTTGTTTTTGTTTTGTTTTTTGTTTTTTTTGTATTTTACATGAGAACTTAAGCTGTGTGATGTTTTGCACCAGCGTAGGGCTTGAAGAAATGTATGGCTGAAGATGTATGGCAAGGAGGAATATATTTTCAAATGGAATTTGTGGAGAGAAAAAAAAAAAAAGGCAAAAAAAAGTATTTTTCTAGTGTGTTTTAGCAAATTAAATGTTTCTCTTTCTACATTTCTGTATTGTTTTTCCCCTTGAAAGAAGAACTGGCATTATATACAGTTGGTAATTTCATTATTTTGTTGTGTGTGTGTCCATTCATAAATTAAAATGAGTATGTATTTTCAGGCTGACAGTTTGATTGCACAGCTGTATGCTTTCAGCTTCTGTAATATTCTTTGGCTGCTCCAGCACTCTGCACACATGGCCATTGTGTCATTCTTACATTTTATGCTTTTATCAGTGAAGTAAATCAGTATTCCCCATCATAGGCCAGCTGTTACTGCCTCTCTGGGCTTCAGCCTTCTTAAGAGACAGTGCTGCAGCTGCAGGGAGCAGTTCATGTGATGTGAGGAGGGAGAGGCAGTGCTGCAGGCTGGGCTCTGTTCTGTGACATGCCCCTGAGCTTCTTTGAGTCCTGTTCTCCAAACTGTGTCCCTCTCATCTCATAGCGTTGGAGATACAGAGAATAATGATGGTCATTAGCCTTCCCCCCCCTTGCTGCACATTGTTTGGCCTCCTCTTGGTGAAAAAAAACAGCACTGCCAAGCATATTGGTGACATTAGACTGGGGAAGGAGGACAGAATGAGAACATGTGATGGACATCAACTAGACAGTAGCTCAGCACCTCAATGCCACTCTCTCATTGCCCTTTCTCAGAAGGGCAGATGAAGAAAATTTGATGGGGAAAAAACGCTCTTGGGTTGAGATAAGGACAGGGAGATTGCTCACCAGTGACTGTCATGGACAAAACAGACTCAGCTCAGGGAGATTAATTTCATTTTTTGTCTGTGGCTAACTGCCCAGGGCAGTGAGAATTAAAAGCAAACTACGAACACCTTCCCACCCTCTCCTATTTCTTCCTTCTGACCAGTGCAGAGGAATGAGGAATGGGGGCTGCAATCAGCTCATAACTCTACATCTCTGCCACTCCTCCATGTTCATTCTCTGCCCCTTTCCACATGGCTTCCTCTCAAAACAATTCTGTTTGGCTTTCCCAAACACTGCAGCTCTCCTAGCACTGCTCCAACACAGCTCCTTCCCATAGGTCCCACCCACAGGCATTGTTCCAGCACAGCCCCATGGCAGCAGCTCCCCCTGCCCTCCTACCCCACCGTAGGCTCCTCTCCATGGGCTGCACCTCCCACCTGGGCTGCTCCTGCAGGGGTATCTGTGAGCTGTGCCTCCTTCAGCCATCATCCACTGCTGCACGTGGAAATGTGCTCTGTTCTCCGCCTGTGGGCTGCAGGGGGACAAGCCTCTCCTTCATGGGCCTCTCCTGGGCTGCAGGGAACTGCTGCTTTGTGCCTGGAGCACATCCTGCCCTCCTCCTGCACTGACCTTGGGGGTGCAGGGCTGCTTCTCTCCCACCTCTCAACCCTCTCTCCCAGCTTTCTGTCCCTTCAGTCCACTCTCTCAGAGGCACACCTGGCATTGCTCACAGCTCAGCTCTGCCCAGTGGTGGGTCCCTGTGCTCACAGAGCCACCCCTGCAGTCTTACCACATCTGAATCCTTTCTACACATAACTACACATATCCTTTGGATCCTTCTTAGGGAATGGTGTTATTTTAGATCTGGGGGAGGAATCTCATAAAATCCTGAATTAGAAGGAACCCGTAAGGATCACCAAGTCCAACCCCTAGCTTCTTCATACAGGACCATCTTAAACAAGAACATCCAAATGTTTTTTGAGCTCTGGCAGTTTGAGGCTGTGTTTGAGGCTGCCCTGGGCAGCCTGTTGTATGCCCACCATCCTCTGGTGAGGAATATTTTTCTAATACCCAACCATCCCAGGATGCAACAAACATACGTTTTGCTCTGTTTGTAGGTTCCTAAAGTGTAAGAAAGCTGGACTATTTTGCTAGCAATACTGTGAAATAGTATGTCTTCATTAATGTGTTCTTGTATGAGGATTTTATATCCTCATATTTGAAAACACAATCTGATAGTAAAGGCACTCCATCGTGTATTGGGAGAATATAAACTTCCTTCTTCTCTCTGAATGACTGTTTTTTCCAATCTATTACTAGGAAGGTGGAAATAGTTTCTTTGTAGTTGGTGCTAGGCAGCTCTACCTAACCAGTTTGTGCTGATGTTTAGTCCTTTTCTAAACATACCTAACCAGTGCTGTCTTTCATTGATTGTGGAGGCTGTTCCAGTCCAGTTCTTGGAGGAGCACGTGATCTCTGCCTACATATTCCTGCCTGCTCCAGTGATGTGGTAGCAAGCGGGAAGAAGGGAACAGTGATGCAATGGAATAAAGAAAATATCAAGTGGAGCCATGACTGTGGCATCTCTATTTTTTTTCTCAGCTGGTTCAGATTGAGTGTAGTGTGTCATGTGCTCTTGGTGAATAGGTCTGGGGAGAGTAGGAAGCTAATTACACAGATTGAAGTGGAGCAATTAATGCTAAAGAGGACAGAAAAGACAAATATAGAAAAAAAAATAAAATGAAAACTGCATAGATCTTATATTGCAAATGAGGATTTAAAATCCAAATTTAAAAAATGCCCTCTATATTACTATTGGTCTTACTACTCTCATATATCTTAGTTTTGCTCTTTACCATTTTTTGCTGCACACATCTTGCAGTGTTCATCACAGCATGACTCTGCTTATTTGGATAATTATCCTCAGGGAGTAAGTGTCCACAGGCAAATTCGCAGTCCATAGGGAAAATTGTATACTTGGATACCTCGTGAACTATTTTTTGGAATTGTTCAATACTTCAAATCTTTTCCTGTGTTTACAGCCTGTAAGAATGTTGCACATTCTGTGATTTCGGTCTTTTAGACAGAACTTCCATAGATACACTTATTTTCTTTTGCTTATATGTGATTTCTTAATTCTAGCCTTCAGTAACTGAGCAAGGACCTTCTATAATATTTAATATTACTTTTAATATTTTTACATAATATTTAATACTTTAATTTAATATTTAATATTTTAATATTTTAATTTAATAATAAAATTTAATTTAATATTCTATAGTATTTAATTTTAATTTAATTTTAAAGGTGAAGAAGACTATAAGATTTTACAGAATGTTAAGTATAGATTCCAAATACGTGAAATTAATTTTACTGTTGGGAATGCTCTTGTCTTCTACTGAATGTTACTGAATGGCAACCATATAGATAGATGAAAAGTGTATTACATTGACAGCAGCTCCATTTTCTGCCCCTACCTCACAGCAGTTAAATCGGTCTGCACTGTTTTCAAAAGAAATTCTAGTCAGTGCATTACCTAGTAGCAAGAAATAGCTTTAGCAACTGTAATTTCTTGATGTATACAAAGAAAATATTAATGAAAGCATTTGTTTCATAATGCCCTAATTTCTCTTCTCTGTGGGAATGTTAATTTAAGTTCTATTGTTTCAGCACTGCATGTGTTAATCCATCTCCTTTCTAGTCTTCTACCTAATAGGGTAGCAGGAGGCTTTGTCAGATCCTGGAGTAAATGAACACTCAACTTTTTTTCCTATCAGTGGATTTGTGATTTTCCCAGGCTGACTGTCATTGATTCCTGGTTCTGCTCTACTGCTAAATCATCACACTATTCATTGTTTCAGTCAGTTTTCAGTGCTCATTGCAATGATTGGATGCAGACAAATCTTAATTAATTTTCCAGGTAATGGAAGTGGTAGTGTCAGCGGGCTTATTAAAATCAAGATGTATGACTTCTGCTTTTCTGCTTTGTTCCTTTATTTTGTATACACCCTCTTAGGGTGTACACAGTTTGTTCTGCTACACAAAACGTAAGAGCAGAGTGACCTTAAAGTCAGAGCCACAGTGTTCTGTCAAGAGTAATAAGTCATTGACATGTTTCACCTGATTAGAGTGATTGCAGGGTGTGAGGAAGGACAGTGAGGTGTTTGACTTTCACTAGAAATTGATCCATTTTAATACAAAATTTCCACTGTTAATAATGATGGATTGGCTGTTTTATTCTGTGTACCTAGTTAGAAGAATATTAAAAAACAGAATTATGGTATGTGTAATGGAGAAAATCACAGTATATTTGATGCTAAGATGATGTAGGTTTTATTGTTTTTATTACTTTGTCTTCTGAGTACACATACTACTCAAATACTGTATCACTTGCTCTTTGTAGTAAATCAGGGAACTGTGAGTACCAGGAAGCTGCTTGAGTGGCTGGCCATCCAATTTAAAACAAATTAGTGAAAATGACAGAAAGAACAGATGTTCTGTATAAATGTGCACAGAATGGTCTTACACTAACACAAATAGTTGCCAGGTTGGATTAGTAGTCTTTACACATTATAGGGCATAGTAGAGACATTTGCTTAACTTAAAGCAGGAAATTATTTCAATGTTTTTGTAAGCTACAATTGAAAAAACAATACTACTTTCAAATCTTTGTTGTTCTCCCTATGTCCTTAAGAGTGAAAATCTGTGATGGTTTCCTTGCAATAGATAGGAAAGTTTATTGTGACTTACCTATAGGTAACAAGTGGATTTGGTGTACTGCTAGCTCTTAAGCAGCATAATTAGACCTAAACGCATACATAAGTCTGCAAGACAGTGCAACATTAATTCTGATCCATTTAATCACTTGGAAACATGGGTACTTATTAACTACTCACATTTCCACATGGTAAGTGCTCTGTTTCTTTTTTTACTTGTTCTCTGAACTGTAAAAATATCTGAAATCATTATTTCACTTGAAATCATTATTTATGAACTACCAAATGCATTGTTCCCTCTCTGCTTTCCTTCATGCCTAAACAATAGTTAATGGGAAATTCCCAGCATGTTTAGGACTATATAAGTATTTTCTATGGTAGAAATTGGTCCAAGTGTCTATTAGTCTGTGTTTTGTTTTCTCTTTTGGTGCTTTTGTTTTCTTTTGTTTTGTTTTATTTTGCCCAGATGTAAGATAATTTGTAAGTTGGTGTTGGGTTGTTTACTAAGGACTCACTGATCAGGAATATTTGTATCCTTATTACAAGTGATAAAATAAGCATAAGATTGGCACAGAACTTGATACAGAGCTAACTGACCTCACAGTTAAGTTAGTGGGAGTACAAACTGTGACTTCATTGGATAATGACTGCTGTTGAAGAGCCCATCCTTCACATTTATACGGTTAATAACATGTGAAGTGTGACCAGGAGGGCGAGGGAGGTGTCTCTGCCCCTCTACTCAGCTCTTGTGAGACCTCACCTGGAGTATTGTGCCCAGTTCTGGAGCCTTCGACACAAGAAGGACATGGGGCTGTTGGAGTAGGTCCAGAGGAGGGCCACAATGAAATCAGAGGGCTGGAGCACCTGGAGAGTTGGGGCTCTTCAGCCTGGAGAAGAGAAGGCTCCACAGGGACCTTAGGAAAAAGGGGCCTACAGGAAAGCTGGGGAGGGACTTCTATTAAGGGCATGTAGCAATAGGACAAGGCTGGGTGGGGCTTTAAGGAACATTGGCACTGGATGACCTTAAAGGTCCCTTCCAACCCAAACGATTCCATGATTCTATGGTTCTGTTTCTTGAAATTTTGTTTAGCATACTCTCTTTGGATTTTAAATAGTGTTCTAATTAAAATGGAAGTTTTGCACTTTTGTGTACACCTTTCTTTTCTGTTTGTAAAATGTGTAAGTATTCATATTCGTGATAGGAAAATAAAAAAACTTCTACTTTTTAAAGCAAATTTGAGCTTTTTAGTTGCAATCATCTACTCATTCCTGTCTGGTTCAAAAACAAGAGGATTGATTCTTCCTTCAGCTATGCCAGTATACATCAAGAGTTACTAAAGACATGGAATTTTTTCTGTATTAAGTATTTAGAAAGAACAGAAGGAATCTTTCCATGTTTGATGTATTAATCTTCTTTGATGTTACACTATGACATTAATGTACTAATGAATGTTTTAAAAAGGTCAGTGCAAGTCTCTGGAGTATCCATCTTAGATATTCCAAAATGGAGATACAGGATTTTGGTAAATTTTGTTATCTTCTATTATGTGGGAGCAAATAAAGAAAAGGGAATGGGTTTGTTCCTACATAAATCCATTTTTATTGAAACCTTCCATTTTTGCATGTAGTTGGGAGACAGAAAGTTTCCAAGGAGAAAGGCAATGGATGAGACACACTGCTTGTGTCTCTAGGTGCCTCCAATGCCCTGCTGAGAAAGGATTCATAGCACATGCTGAAATTAAGGTGTGCTCCCTTACTCCAGTATCCTGGAGTCTCTTTGGTGCATAGGTTGCATTCTGACAGTGCAGCAGTACTATCAACTAAAACAAAAAGAGGGCAGTAACAGAGATTTTTCTGTCACATTTATTTAGTGTGTGTTATTTCCCATGTCAAATATTTCACTTATAAATAAAAATACTGTTTTTTCAAAAGATAATGTGATATGCATTATGTCAGCCAAATGCATACACAGTGCTACGCTTCTACTACTCTTCTCATTTACTTTTAGTGTTATTTGTGTTTTGCCTTTTTACAATACAATTTCTCAATGATTCAGTGATATGATAGGCAGGGATTTTCTTTTCCACCACTGAAATTTGCTGCATGTCTTTTCTGCTTTTTACAGTACAATATGCAGCACCTCAACAAGTAAAAATATCGACTTCTGGTTTGTTTGATATATATTTTTTTTTAACAGAGCATTCTCCTTCCTTATTGTTTTCTTTAAGAGTGAAACTTGTGAGCCTCTTAATTTTCTTGAGAGAATGACTTAGTATATGTTTGCTGTCACCCTGCATCTCTCTCATTGTTCTACTGACATCTATATCAATATAAGTACCAGCTTCTTTATTATGATATACATTTTTTACTAAGGAAAACTTGTTTAACAGCACTGAGGAGTTTAACGATCTAACAGCAAGTTTTACCTTTGATGATCTGTTCAAAGCAAACACATTCCATGTAGCCGTAAATATGACTTTTTCTTGAAACCTGTAGTTTGTTACTGAGTGTTGCTGTTTTCGAGCCCTTGAAGGTTTGGTTTTTGGTGTCCATGTGGTGTACCTCCAGCCCTGAAACAATTTGGAAGAGTTGCTACCTAGAGCTCTGTATCTTTACAAAGCCATAACAGGTGTAGTCTCTGTCTTTATTTTGGGAAAGCATCTCAAGTTTTGTTTTGTTCTGTTTTTCTGATTATTTTTTTTTTACAAACCACTCTAGAAAGTGAAGAGTTTTCAGAGGGTTAGCAAGGTTTTACAGTATATGTTGACCTTTCAGTCATTCCTGGATTCTGTTTTCATTCTTGTGAACAGCAGGAAAATATTACATGAAAGATTACCAAAATGAAATTTATCTACTAGACTGAAATGCCTTCCTGGAATTGAAGCAAAGGAATTTTTCTGTGTGATAATTACTTACTTGCATTTCTGTTTCTGAATATTAGTGAGAAAAAAACAAAAACAAAAACAAAAACAGTGTCCTTAATTAACACTGAATAGCAACCGAACTGTAGAGCCAGCTGGCTGGGCTGTCGGATGGAACAGTGGGAAGTGAACCAGAGAAAACTTTATGAGGTTACAGTAACCTAGAATTCATGCAATAATTTTAGTGGGTGGGTTCCATTCATCTCACAGTGCAGAGAGGAGGTTTTGGAGAGATAAACTCTTAAGAATTTTCCGAGATTATTTCTTAATTACATAAATAGTAAAAAAATCAACTTAGAAGACTATTCTATTTGTTGTAGATGAAAAGTGTAATCTAATTCTACTGGAAGATATTGATGTTTCTGCTTCAAGTTTTTTAACAGATCTGCAATTTTTTTTTTTTTTTTTTTTTTTTTTCCAGGTCGAAAATTTAAAAAGCTTAACAAAATTAAGGTTGTGAGGACATTAGATGTTGCACTCCAGCAGCCAGCAGCCCTTCAGGATGAAAGCCAGTCTCTATCGCAAAGGCTGTCCTTTTCTCCAAATCAAGAAATACAGTTTGTTCCCCCAGTGATAAGTGTTTTGCGAGGCATTGAGCCTGAAGTTGTCTATGCTGGTTATGACAATACAAAACCTGAAACACCAAGTTCCTTGCTGACCAGTCTAAATCATCTTTGTGAGAGGCAACTTCTTTGTGTAGTCAAGTGGTCAAAATTGCTACCAGGTAATAGCAGTTCTTGTTGTAGTGAATTCTTGTTAAGCAAATATGTCATAAGCCAAGCAGTCAAAAGAGAAGATCACTTGCTTATTGTCTGCATGTTACTTAATTCTTAAGAAACTGTTAAAGGATTAAGTTTCCACTTCATCAGATGATGTATGCACTAATCAAATGCATTTTAATGGGAAGCCCTTTGTAAATTAAAGTTTGTTTATACTTATTTAAAAAACAAAAAACAAAACAAAAAAAAAAAACAACCCCAAACAATAGAGGTCCAGAGTGTTTCTATTCTTGATCATTATAGCAGCCTTTCCATCCTAACTCTTCTGACTCTACTATTCATACTTTGAGTTTATATATTTTTTTTTCTTTTCTGCATGTTCTTCATTCTTATTCTTGTTGAAAAGAATTTTGAAAGAAACAGAGAAAAACTACAATACTAATAGCTAAACAGCTCACAAATACTCTATGAATGAGAAGCAACTGAATTTCTGAGGAACTAAGAAATAGAAAAGAAAAGGTCGTGATTATATATCTGTGTTCTCTGTATGATAATAGAAGCCAGGTCCTGGGATCTATAAAAATCAGAATATTAATTTGGAGGCCTAGAAATGTGCTTTAATTTGGGCTCAACTGACACTTCTGTCCTGCAGTACAGTGTCAGACCTCATCAGTCAGTTGAACTGGGATTGTTCAGTCTGGAGAAGAGGCCCAGGGGATACCGTATAGCTCTCTACAACTGCTTGGAAGGAGGTTGTAATGAGCTGTGGCCAGCCTCTTCTCCCAAGAAACTAATGATAAGATGAAAGGGAATGGCCGTAAGTTGTGCCAGAGGAGTTTCAGGTTGGATGTTAGTAAAAATTTCTTCACAGAAAGAATGATGAGATGTTGGAACAGGCTGCCCAAGGAAGTGCTGGAGTCACTGTCCCTAAAAGTGTTCAGGGGAAGGGTAGATATGGCAAATGGATGGGGATAGGTTGATTGTTGGACTAGATGATCCTAGAGGTCTTTTCCAAACTTTATGATTCTATGCTTTTGTGGTATTTAATCTCATTAAGTGAGAAGAAAACAAACCTTTTTTTGCTGGGTAATTTTCTGTCGGCTTTATGAGCTGAACCAGTTCACTGAGGATAGGATGAATGCCAGAGCTTGCTTGAAGAAGGTACCAGGACCAGCTAATGAGCAACAGTTTTTGGTAACAGGAAGCTGTTAAATCATCTCTGATACTTAGATGCAATCCTTAAAATTATCCAAGAGCAGAAGTTATAGACACACGCACAGCTGATGTTCTCTGGGTTTAAATGCAATAAAGGTGTTCATAGGTGAATGTTTATTGTGTTATTTAATTTCATTTCCAGGATTTCGGAATTTACACATTGATGATCAGATAACTCTCATCCAGTATTCCTGGATGAGTCTAATGGTTTTTGCAATGGGATGGAGATCATACAAACATGTCAGTGGTCAGATGTTGTATTTTGCACCAGATCTGATTCTGAATGAGTAAGTAGACACTACTCATGCACAATATGAATGTTATTTTGAATTTCTTCGTGTTGATGGAACGTGATTTCACTGAAACCAAGTTTTCATTCATTATTTGTTCTGTTTCAAAATTAACAGCGAAGTCCACTGAGGACATAAAATTCAGTAACATTGGGAAGGATTGTATGGGAATCCCAAATATTTTATTGATGAGGCCAAACAAAATAAGTTCAAATATTATTTTAATTATCTAACAGAAAAGAATTAGAATTATGTTGTCAGAAGATTTACATGAATTCAAATGCGTAACACAGAAGTTCACCTTCATTAAATGAAACTAAACGGGATTTTCTTTGGTCATCGGTGATTGGATGGGTTTTTGTGAGATGGTGGATTAAATTCTTTCATCTCCCATGTGTGTTAATTGTGCTGTACAAATGGAAGCGCTTTGCAGGGATAAGACTCAGGGAGCTTCAAATTCTGTTGGGTCCCCTAGTGTACTCTGGGATGTATCTCATGGTTATATTCAGAAATCCACAGTAATGGCTTTAGGCAGTAGTGGTATGCCTTGGTGTTTTACCCTGCGTGTGCTCCAATGCATGCCATATGAAGAAGACTTTAAATACTTTCTTCCAGAGGAGTGTTGGGATTTGTGAGCCCTGCTTATAATTCCTTGTAGACAGCTTCCTGTTTGTAGCTTAAGACCATTTATATTGAGCAAGAGGTGGACTGACCGCATGCAATTCTCGTGGCTGTAGAACATCTCGTCAGATCAGTGTCAGAAAAAATTATAAGAGCTAAACATGAGGAGTAACGTACACTAAATCAAAGCTGCCACTATTTACTGGGAAAAAAACAAAAACAAAAACAAAAAAACTTTTAGACCAGTGAAAGGTAACTGCTGAACACCAGCAGAAATGGCAACCCTCCCTGCTTCCTGCCCTGGTCATGCATGCCTAAAATTTTACTTAAGCAGGATCAAACACTATTTGGCTGCATGGTAAAACAGATAAGGAAATGACATGTTTGAAAAATACACTAGGATAAAACCTAACTTGCCAATTAAGCTGATCCCTGATCTGACTCACCATGTGGGCTGGAAGGCACTAATGCCAGAAGAGTAGGAGTGCACACCTAGAGGTGGGAAGAGATCATGGAAATTCCATCTACTATGGCAGCACACACATAGATTGTTTTGAAATAACCATGAAACCACAGTCCAAAGATTGTTTTGAAGACAATTTGTTATGTACTGAACTTGTCTGAAAATGAACTGTAATGCTCTTTGAGAGTGACTTGCTCAGTAGCATAATTTCAGAGAGTAAGCAGTATTGGATTGACAGTGGTTTCATGGACTTGTATTAAAATACTACAAGACTTTACTGTTGCACCTTGTGGTGTCTGAAAATATGCTTATGAGCAGCATCTAATGCACCTTGAAAGCTATTGCTTCTCTAAGATGCTGTTTATGAATAAGGATTATCAGAAAGGCCAGGCTGAATGGGGCTGTGAGCAGCCTGGCCTAGTGGGAGGTGTCCCTGCCTGTAGGGGGGGGGGTGGAACTGTACAAGCTTAAAGGTGCCTTCCAACCCAAACCATTCTATGATTCTATGAAAGGAATAGAAAGGGAGAATTAAAGTGGATATGGAAATAAATCTAGCCAGTTCTTGCAGATCAAAATTTCATGTTTGAGTCATTGAAGAGCTGGTACAAGACTTTGGATATAGAACAAAACTGAAAACATTTCATTTAAAATAACGAAAACACTTTAAATACCATAAGAAAAAACCCTTGGTGCATTGAGAAAAGTCTTTTATTAACGGAAAATATCTTCTGTTTGGAACACTATCTGTAGTTAGTTTGGAATGCTAGACTGAGCTCAGAGTTACAATTCCCATTGTAACAAGTGATAAAACTCCATTGGTCTCATGGGGAGCAAAATTTTATTGGCTTGTAATTGTTGTACCTCAGGGTACAGCTTTGTAAAATAACTCCACATTACTGCATCTTCCAGTGAATGTAGGACAAACTCAGTTTAGTTTACAAACTTTATAATGATATTGTTTTTATCATTTCATCATCAGTTAAGAACTGCCTTTCTAATAAATAAATGCAATAAAATAAATTCACTACACCAAAATCTCAAAGAGAAAAGTAAGATCAGAGTACTGCAAAAGACTAGATAATTTTTGTATTTCCTTATGAAATGTCCTATTTACTGCTGCAGGAGTCAGGTAAGGCTGTAGTAATGTCTACTTTCACTTAAAATATTTTTAAAATATGCTTGCATTTAATACTTCAACTGTTTCCGTAGTGCTACAAAATAATTCAGTTGCACTTAGCAGAAGAATTTTGTACAAGCAACAAAGAATTTTGATGTACATTAATTAGAAACATCTTTGCAAAACCTATGAACAAGTTTTTATCAGCTTTCAGCCTCTAGTTTTATGCTTTGTTTTCAAAGAACTTAAAAAGTTATCAACTTCTAAACAAAAGCACTTCATCGTAAATATTAGCTTATTATAAATTAATAAAAAAACTTTATTTTTGGTGATAAGCATTCATATGTGATAGTCTACAAGTTCTTTTCTAACCAGAAGTAACAGATTAAACATTGAAAATAACAACTTGTTACTTACAATTAAAAAACTAGTAAAGAAATTGTTCATTTGTTTTTCTTAATTTCAACACTGTTAATTACGCTGCTCAAGGCACTTCCTTGAAACAATTAGTAATTAAGCTGCTCCTCTTCTTTATTTTCCTGTTTTGTTTTTTTTTTTTTATTTCTTTTTTTGCCTTTTCTGGGTGTAAGACAGAGGATGAAAGAATCGTCGTTCTATTCGCTGTGTCTCTCCATGTGGCAGCTCCCACAGGAGTTTGTCAGACTCCAAGTTAGTCAAGAAGAGTTTCTATGTATGAAAGCACTGCTGCTTCTCAATACAAGTAAGCTCTTTTGTTTCTAACATATCACTGGTAAAATCTTTGTTTTGACCGATGCTGTTTAACTTGATAATTGCTGAGCTTTCTGGCTTAGCAAATGGAAAACTTCTTCAGGAGGAAAATGTTAGCATATCAAGACCTAAAAATATGTTTGCAGTGTCTGTAGGGAACAAATAATCTGTTTCATCATTGTGTTTGTTTTGTATAAAGGCACTGGAGAAATGTTGGATCCCTTTTAATGTATTGTAATACTGTATTATGCATTTTCAAAACAACTGTGCATATTTCGGTGAGGAAGAATGACTTCAAACGACACTACACAGATAAAAATCTCCTACAGGCATTGGAAATATATAAATATTTGATTGACTTTGGGGTTTGTTGGTGGAGGGATTGATTCTGGCCTAGAAGTTAAAGCATGCTTATTCAAAAGATTCGCAAAAGTGGACATGGCAAACAATATTAATATTTATTCACATTTTCTACTTAAGCCAAGGTTTAGCACAGCTGTGGATAGACTAACTTCTTTTAGTTGTTTACTTGAGTACAAAATTTGTGATCTCTTTAATTGTATGCATCTTTGTAAGAATGCAGTATACAGCACTGCACTGAACTGTAATTGAAAAATATGGTAGTTGATGAGATTCCCTTCTGAAGCCTTTTCTAAACTACTGGGAAAGTCATCAGCTGATGCCTTAAACAGTCCACAAACAGGAAGTTTTAAAATTTTACTGCTACCTTTAGGAATAAAACTAAACACCTCCTAGAACTAGAAATGGAAGCATGTTGAAGTTTGGTTCTGTGCACACTTACTGAGTTTCCTGTTTCTTGGCTGTACAAAGACTCAACAGAAGATAAGGAATTAAAATTTATTCCCTCTTAGGCTGTTCTTGCCTGCTGTTTACATAAGCTCATGCTTTCAGAAGTCTGTCATCAGCAGAGTATAGACAGTAAAGTAAGCGTAGTTCATAGGAATATAAAAATTACTAGCATAATAGCAAAATAGCACACACTCTGCTAGTGGAATAGAAATAATACAGAAAATAATCCCAATGCAATATAACTGCAGTTTCTTTCTTGGAATTACATCAGAGTTTTGAATATATTCCCATTATAAATGTTTTCCATCTTCTTTTCATCACATTTTGAAATCCTATGTAAATCTATGTAAATGCTGGAGGGAAGTCTTACATTTCAGTTAGGTTTAGATACATTTGTGATATTCTAACTCCACGTACCAGTAAGCTCAAATAAAATAATTTTAAAAATATGCTGCAGTGGTCCACTCCCTCTCAATGCTGGGTGCATCAGTTTAACAGTGATCACTAAGCCACCATTCTTTATCAACTGCACTTCCATTATAAACTCACTTTTAAGATCATGTGCTTGTATGTATGCAAGAAATTAATTTAATAATATGAAAGTATTTTTGCTTATGTTCATGAGTTTTGCTTTCTGTTCATTCCTCTACTTATTGTCTTATAGGAAAAAACAGTTTGTCAGATCTTTGGGAAAAGGAACACACCTAACCATTGTTGCTGAGACATTTAGTAAACATTTGGTACTGTATAAATACAATACTCTCCACAAAACAATGCTCAAAAAGCATAAAACCTGATTGTTGATATAAAGTATTTTTAAAGATTATTTCTATTTCATGCTGTTCACCTTTATCCTCTTCAGATGTGAAAGTGTGACCATTTCAATCTTTCACATACAACAGTAAATCATGTCTCAACTTTGTCTCTCATTCTGTTTTCTATTTGAGTTTTTATTATAATCCACTGGCTTTTCTTTTAAAGACACAGTAATGTGTATTGCACATGACTAAATATCAGACACAATGTATTTCTAAATCTGAATGGAAACCCCAGCTTTATTTTTAACATTTTCAGTTTTACATTTTTTCCCTTGATGTAACTGTGGTGTAGTCTTTTTCTTTTTTTTTTTCTACTGTATTACTGACAGTTTTAAAACTGTCTCAAAAGTAGAATTAGTCTTAGCAAAAAGTAGACCAACTTTTTTATTTTCTGCCATTGTTTCGATTTTCTAGTTCCTTATTTACTATGTTTTACATATAGACATATGTTATATGCTTTGCTTTAATGATACCCAAAAGTTCTAAATAGTTCTCCATGTAACAGAGGCCACACATGTGGGAACCAATACAGTGAATAGCTCAGACAGAATATGATATAAGGAAGTTGGATTGTCTTATGGAGGGTACAACATGCTTAGTCCAGCATTTCATCATCATCAGCTGCCAGAAGAAATCAAACATGACACGTCCCTAAAAGCCAAACTACTATTCGATATGTGGAAGCAATCACAACTTCTGTTGTTGATTTTTATTTAAGTTCAGATTTGGGTTGGTATCAGAATTTGAATTCTACATGCCAGTTCTTAGACACTTGTATTTGTAGTCAGCTTGCTATTCTGTAGATATATATGCATATATATACATATATATGTCTCCATCCTTCCCCCAGACATTCAGTTGTCTGAGAAAGTACTGACATGAGTGGTCAGTGTCAACTTGGATCATTTCCTCTCTTGGACAGTCTCCCATAAAATAAGAAAATTCTGCTTCAGAGCAGAGATTTGAACTTTGCTTTGCTTTGTATAGGCTCTCTCTGGGCTCTAGATGAAGAAAATTATGAATTTTAATGTTTGCCTCAAATGTCTTTATCTGCCTTACCTTCTCTTACTTTATGTATCTATCTATCTATGTCTATACCTATATCTATACCTATATCTGTATCTATCTTCTATTTCTATTTCTATATCTACATTTAGAGGTCCAACTGTACTCAGTCGTGGCCAGATAGTAGCCATGGCACAATACCAGACTGAAGGTATATGACATACTTAGCATGTGATTAATTTAATTATGTGAGCTACTACTCACAAGACTCCTTTAGAGTCCATAGAGAAAAATAAGCATTTCTACCTGCAGTGTAATTCATGTCTTTCTAAGCTGCTTCTACAACAGTGAATATGTCATGTGCCCTATTCTCACCTGATTTTTTCCACTGAAAATATAGGGAGCTGTGGTTGTTCCTTGTATATGTGCTGTCAGAAGATGAAATGTTAAATGTGACATTACAGTGTGAAATGTCATCGGAAAAAGAAAAAGGAAAGGGAAAAAGAATTTTTCTATCAAAAACAGTATTTCTGAAACTAGATTCTATTTTAATATATGATTATTTTAACAAAGCAAGGATTTAAATTTGAGTGCCAGTTGGGGATGTTTTTTCAAGTTTTATTTTTTAAAATTTTCATTTCAGTGTCTTCAACAACATAAATTATAAGACATATATTACATGCTGCCCTGTCATGGAAAATAGTGCTCAGACCGTATCAAAGTTTCCTTACAGTGCTGCCAGAACATAGAATCAATGCTCAAACATGATCTTACTACTAGGAGTCACTAACAGGTTCATTTTTGGTATTCTCTGTATTCCTTCATTTTGGTCCTAACAACAGACCATTAAGAGCAGAGCGAGTTGAGCCATTTGCTTCTGTCTGCTAATTATCTAAGAAATATTCAGATTTAAGACTCTAAGAGTACATCTGCTCTTTTGAGTAAGAGAAGTCCAAACAGGAAACCTGAGCCTTGGATGCTTTACTGTCTACATTATTTAAAGCTGTTAATTCATTCCATGATGCCATTTCAAAGCACTCCAGCTAGATGTAGGATAAATATGCTCTAAGGGGGGCAGGCTCTCGGCAACGTAAGATAAGCCAACCTATGACATATTTCCTTAAGGACCAGAGGGGTTCTTTTTGCATTCTTCTTTCAGCATGGCCTTAAACTTCATCTATACCTATTTCTAGACATCAGAGGTTAGTATGTTGTATGACTATTTCTGGATAAACTGATTAACAGGAAGAAGTACTTGGCAGATAATAAATTGCACAGCACACTGTGAAATATAATCTGTTCCCTTACTTAAATCTCTCTTTTTGCCTTAAGAATACATTGCAATACAAATGTTGCTTTCTTTTCAGTTCCTTTGGAAGGTCTAAGAAGTCAAAACCAATTTGATGAGATGAGAACGAGTTACATTAGAGAACTGGTGAAGGCCATTGGCTTGCGCCAGAAAGGTGTTGTGGCTAATTCCCAGCGTTTCTATCAGCTTACAAAACTGATGGATTCCATGCATGATGTAAGTTTACTTGTTAACTTGTGTTGTTATTCTTGTTTTTTTTTTTTAAGTCAGAAGCAATTTGAATTTCATAAAGGAAATTTTATGAAAAGTGGCTAGTTAACACTTCTAAACTAAAAAAAATGTAAGTATACCTCTCCTTTGATGTGTGAATAGAACAAAGAGATAGCTGTATATTTGGTAATCAAAACATACTGTATAAAATGTTTAAATATTTGAAAATAGGCATTTGAACACTACTTCTGCATTATTTCTGTATCTAGAGCAGTTAAGATTGTTGGTAGGGCTCCATGTGTCTGTATGTGTGTGTACATGTTCATAAAAATTATTTACAAAATGTAGAGAATAGGGAACTCAAAAGAAAGCCATTGATTTTTCTTCCTTAATTCAAGTATTTTTACACATATACTGTATGCTGTTTTTTTTCCAGTATCTGTTCATATTCTGGGATTGATTAATATCAGAGATCTCTAATAGTGATGTAGAAATTCATAAGTGTTTTAAAAGATATATCTGAATACTTTCCACATCGCTGAAAATCCAGCATGCATCCTCTGGGCTTAGCATCCATTAAAACTGAGGAATGATGCTCTCTGCCCATGCGAATAATGTTTTGTAATGGCTTCTGCATCTCTGCAAGAGGGGCAAGAAGCAGAGATACAAGGCTTGAACATGGACTCAAGGCTTGAACATGGACTGGTGGAGTGGCACTAAAATACTTCAAGAAAAGTGATTTTGAATTCTTGGCTGTGACAAGGTCATAGAGAGTTGAGGGAAGGATGAGGTCTTTGTATTCTTTTGTGCTTATGTGCATTTTTTTTTTGTGTGTGTGTGAATAAATTCATTTTTTCATATAAAAGCTTTCCTTGTCACTAATTCCTCCTTTTGATGGAGGAAAAAGCTGAAAATCCCATTTATGAAGGTTGAGAGAGGCAACGATATTGATAATTACGTGGTTCACCAGGTAGTCTGGAGTCCTTTGATCCACTGCACAGACCTCTCTCTATCAACTTTTGCTCTGCACAGAAATCACATTGACCATTTAGCTGTCACATCTCGTCAGATAACATCAGAAGATGAATAGGATAAGGATGAAAATAAAAGAATCAGAGAATTTTAGGGGTTGAAAGGGACCTCTAGAGATCAGCAAGTCTAATCCCTCTGCTAAAGCAGGTTCCCTTACAGTAAGCTGCACAGGTAGCCATCCAGCCAGGTGTGAATATCTCCAAAGGAGACACCACAACCTCTCTGGGCAGCCTGTTCCAGTGCTCTTTCACCCTCGCTGTAAAGAAGTTCTGTAAAGAAGTCCTGCACATTTGTGTGGAATTTCTTATGTTCCAGTTTTTGGCCATTGCTCCTTGTCGTATCACTGCACACCACTGGAAAATATTTATAAACATTGATCAGATCCCCCCTCAGTCTTCTTTAGGCTGAACAGGTCCATGTCTCTCAGCCTTTCCTAATATGGAAGATGCCCCAGGACCTGTATCATCTTTGTCACCCTAATAATCCTTAAATACAAAGTTAGACAACAGAACGTTCTGAGGATATTGAGATTAGCTACAAGATATACTGGTAGTTGAACTCCTCATTATTTGGGAATGTTGGTGCTAAATCCTTGTCAGGAATCCAGTCAGCCAACTTTTACTTGCAAAAACAGTTCCTGGCCAGTGTCCTACTCATGCTAGCCAGGTGCTTAAGGAATCTGTCATATGATGTTTGCATGTGGCTTGCTTGGAATAAAAGACCTTCCTGCCTTACTTGGAATAAGAATTTTCAGTTTGGATCTCACAACATCCAGAGAAGAATTGAGTACTGAGTTATTTATTCATTTCAAATTTAACATAGTAAAATAGCCTCAATGGAAGCAAGTGAAAGAGGCTTGCAGCAGAATATCCAGCAAAGCAATGGCTGGAGTAGTGTTTGGTCTGGAGATGTCTGAGTGCGAATCCCTCTTCCAGCTCAGACTGAGAGAAGTAGGTGATACAAGATAAGCCATCCCACTGGAGAGACCACACATTGCTAAAGCTCTAATAGGATTCTAGACAACATAAAGGTCATAGGTCTTTAAGAAAAACTAAAAAAATTGGTACTTCCTAGAGAAGGTAGGTGAAAGGGTGTAGCAGTTGCTTTCTAGCAACGAGGGCCTATGAAATTTAACATTATCAGCATATCCAGATATGATCATAGTCAGAGCTATGGGAAACCTCAAAAGAGAAAATACAGTCCTTGGGGCAATGTTTGAATATCATCTAGTAAACAAGGCATTGAGACTTCTTTTGTTGAACATGAGCATAAAATAAAAGTTTGAATAGTTTTTAATAACTCTGTTGTTCATGGTACATGTAATAAGTGAGTTCTCATGCTAGTGATTCTGACTTTTTTAGGACATGTCATTTAGCTATATTTATGATTTTTGCCTTGGAATTTTATTTTAATAGGGAATAGCAAGTTATCCTCATTATTGGTTCAAGGAATATTGTATTAAGATGTAATATGGATGTGTGAGCCGATGGATGTGTGAGCTAAATGGTTGATAGCATATTTATTTGGCTGCACTGCTGATAGCCTTACTTGTTTGTATTTTATTAAATCCAGCTAGTGAAACAGCTCCATCTCTTCTGTCTGAACACATTTCTCCAGTCCCGTGCACTGAGCGTTGAGTTCCCTGAGATGATGTCAGAGGTGATTGCTGCACAGCTGCCCAAGATTCTGGCAGGGATGGTGAAACCTCTTCTCTTTCACAAGAAGTGAAATGTCTTTTCTCTTACCATAGGGATGATTTCTGGGTCGGTTTTTGTTTGTTTATTTTGGTCAAGATTTTGCAATGTCAGGACTTCAGTGTATTTGTCATACCCTGCCTACTGCTTTGTACTTGTAACATACACAAGCCATTTAAGCTTGATGTACATATTGTGAGTTCCTGATTCCTTAGCTGCAAAAATCACAACAGTCGGAAGAAATGTTTTGTAAACTTGGGTAGATTGCTATTTAGATATGCGTAAGAATGACACTAGAGTTTTCAGATTTCTAAGAACAGTTATCTTATACATTTTTCTTACATATTACACACTTTCAGATTTCTGATACGTCATGGTGAAAACTTTTTAATACATTGTGTGCATGTGTACACGTGGGCATGCGCATGGTCCTGAAGTTTTTGAGGGAATTAAAATGTATATTGCCCACACTTTCTCACGGATATTTGACTTTTTATTTACTAATCTGCTTCACAGAAATATCCTTTCAAAGTCAGCTGTTCAAGTTTAAGTAGATACCACTGCAATGCCTTCATGAGTAACTAAAGCGCTCTCTGTAAAACGTGTGAATATGGATTCATGTTCTTCTCTGTGCTCATATTGTATTGAAATTCTGATACCAGTGTGCTTCTTTCTGCATCATTCAGTGCAGTTCTTCAAAAATCAGAAGGCAGAGGAAAATTTCAGTATATATTACACCAGAAGTAAGATGTATGTAAACCCACACGGCTTCAGTTTGTGTTATTTTCCTTCAAAGTTTGGCACTTAGTAAAGCTAAAACACATTGTTGTAATCTTAAATTTAGCAACTTAAAAATTATGTATTTCAGAAGTTTTAAATGGAAATATTTTCCATGACTCTCAATAATCTTGATGGTTTGAATTCCTCCGTATGCTTAACCAACACTACCATCAAATTTTAGAGAGGTTAGAAACAAAAAGAAGTGGAAAATATGACCACAGACATTTTTATATACTTAACATTCATCTTAAAACATTTAGTGAAGCTACATATTTTTACTTCAAAGGCGTGCTGTTTTAGTTGGAGTAACTGTATGAAGAGTTGGGCTAAACTAGCATTATACATTCATGAAGAATGTCATGGTTTTCCTGGAAATGAAATATTTGACTAAAAACAATAATGCGATGGTTGTTGTTCCTTTTGTATGGACATGAAGCTACTTATATTTGAGGCAGTAAACTGCTGATATATTCAGATGAAGAGATGGATAAGCCCAAGAAGAATTTGGATTATTAAAATCTGACGAATTTTTGCTAGTCACTAAAGACAATACCCAGCTTCTCTAGCACTAATCAGTGTAGGAAATTGCAAGTCCTGGATGACTGCTGGCCATATGCTTTTCCCCATTAGACACTGGATGCATCCATTGTGGTAGCATTCTGCTTATGGTATGTAATATGGGATGAATGGACTTGTCTTTGTCAGGTAAGCTAAGGCCCACCAAGAGGAAGCTACATAACAGATAGGAATAGAAGTTTCCTACATAGTACAAAACCCACTGGAGTTGTGGCAAAGAAGTGACCCAAGGAAAAATGGTCTAAGCAGACTTTTGTGCTTGTTTACTAGGTTCGTAACTTTTAACTGCCCCTAAACAAGATATTTCTTACTTATTCAATACAGTCTGACTTTCAACTGTCATCCTGAAAGCAATTGTGTTTTAATAAATAACACAAAATTCTGTTTCTACATACCAAAGTTTTGTTTTCTTTAATTTTCTTTGTATTTACATTCAGTTATACAGTTGTCCATTTCAACCATTCATCTTTTGTGTAACAACAATATTTTCATGCATTCCTTGGGGGTTTAAGCATATGATTTACCAGAATAACCAGACTTTCTATGTTAGTTAAGATTAAACTGTTATCAGAAACTTCCCATACTAAAAGTGGTTCCACAACACAAGACAAAATCACAGGATGCTAGGGGCTGGAAGGGACCTCTGGAGATCATCCAGTCCAACCCCCTGTTAAAGCAGGTTTCCTACAGGAGGATGCACAAGGAAGTGTCCTGCAGGTTTTGAACATCTTCAGAAAAGGAGACTCCACAACTTCTCTGGGCAGCCTGTTCCAGTGCTGTCACCCTCCCAGTAAGTAAGGATGTTCTTTCTCATGTTCAGATGGAAATTCCTGTTTCCCAGTTTGTGCCCAGTTCCCCTTGTTCTGTCACAGGGAACCACCAAAAAAAGCCTGGCCTTATTTTATCTGGGCCTCTCAGTCTTTTCCAGGCTGAACAGTCCCACATCTCTCAGCCTTTCCTCGTCAGGAAGATGCTTCTCCAGATCCCAAACTGTATTTGTGATACAACTCCCTTGGATTCTTTCCAGAAATTCCCTGTCTTTCTTGAACTGGAGAGCCCAGATCTGGACACTACTCCAGATGTGGCCTCATCAGGGCAGAGTAGGGGGGGAAGGGTCACCTCCCTTGCCCTGCTGGCCACACTCTTCATAGTGCACTCCAGGATACCCTTGGCCTTCTTGGCCACAAGGGCACACTGCTGGCTCATGGAACATCCTAATCCTGAAAACAGAAAACGGAGCAGGCATTACATGTGCTTTAGGAATGCTCTGGATAAATCAACATCTGCCTTTGCTGAAGCCCTAACATTTGTTCCAAGTGTCTGCTGTGTCACTGTCCCACAAGTAGGGCAGATTAATTTGAAATTAACTACGTTTGTCTCAAAGGCATAATCCAAAAAGGAAGAAAAGATGTCTTTTGGGAATAGTTTACAAAGGTTACCACATTATCAAATGGTGTTTCTTGAAGATCTCTAACTCACAGAAAAAATCCTGGAATTTCATGATCGTGCTAAATGGTCCACTGCACAACTCAGGACAAACTTGGATAAATATGATTGCTAATTTATATATGATTGCTGATTCAATTTAAAATCTTGCATTCATTACTTGATTGTCTGAAGTTGGACAAAAGTAGTTTAATTTAAGATCTTCCAGCTTTGAACAGAGTTTATGAGGAGCCAATAGTCTCCATTCCGATGCCATCATTTGTTCCAGATTACATAGGTGCCATTAACAGTAATCAGGACACCAGATTAATTTCTTCCTCATGGAAATCTCATCTACTGTGACTTTTATTGCACATTTGTCCAGAAAATGACTTGCAAACCTTTTTTCTTTGAGGGTTTTTTTTTTTTTTTACAGATGAAGAGGCTTTTTAGTTGCCTGTATTTCACTGCATTAATATTTCTTTTAAAATTAAGTTTTTTTGTTTGTTTGTTTGTTTGTTTGTTTGTTTGTTTTAACCTGAGTTTTACAAGTAGGTGCAAATAAAGCAACTTATTCTACTTCCCTCTGCATTGAATAAGTCATAGGAAGGCTGGGTCTTCTTGTGTTTCATTTTGCATTTTGGAAGGAAGGTGTTTCGGCAGACAGACTGTTTTGTTCTCTGGCACCTTGTCTAGGTGACACCAGAAGTTATTTCTCTTATGATAAATAATTCCAGGTATGTATGCCTGAAACCCTCATACTCTACAGTTTACATGTTTTTAACATAAAGCCTTTAGCATTGCCTTCTGCTGTTACTTAAGTGAGCAAACAAAAGCATGAAGTCCACTGCTTTCTTTTCTTCCTACTGTTGTCATTCAGCTTTGCAGAGGCATCACGAGCTCCAAGTACTGTCATTTCTGTTCTGAACATCAAGCTGCCTGCAGTGGCAGCCCTTTCTAGGACAGAGCCCAAGAGACCATTGGCGCTTCAAGCTCTCATCCCAGCTTGTTTCCCTTTGTGCCTGCTGGGGCCAAAGAAATACCAAGAGGTCCAATGCTTGTTGACAAGGATTGATAAATCCTTTTGTCAGCATTTATGGAAGGACAAATGTTGGTTTGTCCAGGATGGAGGCAAACAGAGCCTGAAAACCTTTTAGCAGGTTTCCTGTGGTTCTGCAGTGCTCTGTGTGTGCACCATAAACCGCAGCTCCAGAACTCCAGCTGTTCCTTCAGCTGTGGTCTCTGGTGTTGTACCTAAAACAGAGAAGCTGAGACTTCACTCAACATTTTCAAAGACCATTTTCTATTGACCATTTGCTTATCAGTCAATGCTTTGTTATTACCTCAACACTCTTTTGCTGTGCTTTATGATGATATGCTAGTAATTCCATTTAATTGGGAAATTCAGCTTCTTTACTGTGCTCCTATCTAAAACAAATCTTTGTGTCAGTTACTGATAGCATATATATGCCAAAGGTGATGTCTAGATTACTGTAAATGTAACATATGGTAATATGTGCACGATCCTTCCATAACTCCCACCTGCCCAGACTATTGGCTCAACCCCAAGGCAGAAGGGTGTGGTGCTGCCCTCCTCCTGCCTCGTGTGCCAGTCATGGCGTGCTGACCTCCCTTTCCTTCGGGTAAGTCAGCTTGCAGCCACGGAGTCAATGGCCAAAGCCTTTCCAAACTTCCATGGCTCAAAAGCCTGTGTATATATACTGCCAGGGTGGATTGTCAGCACTGCTGGATTTATTGGTTTGTGCTGCTTTGTGTCACGGTGACCTGACTTTTGAACAGAGGAATTGTTTTTCATTTAGTTCTCTTTTCCCCCTTGGAAGATGAAAAGGAAAAAAAAAAAAAGAAAAAAAAGAAGTCATGTTTTAGATGTTTTCATATTGAAATTTATGAGTTGTTTTTTTAGATGTGTGCTATTAATTTGGTAGATTGACATTATTTGCATGTGGAATTATATTGTAGCTTTTCAGATGCTTGTACAGAAACATGCAGTAAAAGGTGGCTGTGTGAGTAATAATAACTTAAAAACTAATTGCCTGTAGTCCTTAAATAGAAAATCATCCTCAGAAGGCACCCGTGCTGTTGGAACTGAAGTCCTTAATGCAGCAGTTGCAGAAATTTTAAGAATATGAACAGTACTTAAATACAAAATGAAAAAAAAAAAAAAAAGTGCATTTTTTTAATTACATGCATTTATTTGCTTACATTGAGGTGGTTTGAGCCCATGGTGCTCTGCGCCAAGGTGTGTAAAGGCTGCAACTTCTATATAAAGACTATCAAGGAGTGGTGAAATGTCACTGAATTCTAGCTCATCATTTAAAGCTGGCGACATTTCAGCTTCTTGCAACCATGTGCTGTGCTCATTATGAAAGCACCATCGCAAGTCTGATAGTCATAAATCATGTTTTTCTGACCATGGAAACTAAATTAACCTCTCACCTCAACATGTACAATAGTTCCTCCAGTTCAGCATTCAGGCAGACCAGTGAGGAGGTTCTCACAGCGTCATTTACATGGTCTCAGTCTACTGCATTTTTCCCACAGCTCAGTTGAAATACCCACCCATCTGGGCTGGTACTAGAAATTCCTTTTGTTGTATCAAGGAAGAAGAAATATATAATTTCCAGGAATCCCAGACTTCACATCACTAAGCCCTATGGCTGTCCACTTTCAAATGAAGTGGGGACAGATTGAATGAAAGCACCTGGTGGACACAACAATATCTTTGCCATTGAGTTTTTTCGGAGATAACTGGGTGGCTCAGTGCAGGGAGTTTTGTGTTATACAGGTAAGACTGTTATAGACATGATTGTTGTTTCTTGGATGTACCATTTTCACATTTGCTATTTCTCATACACAAGATAAAAGAACAGTACTGCTTTTACACCTCATACTGTTGCTTTTTTTTTTGTCCAGTGTGAGACAATAGTCATCTACAAAGCCCTCAAGTTAAGAACATTAGTAGCTAACACTGTAAGTCCATATCTTATATTTTGTACAAATATATACATATTACCAAATTATTTATGTTTATGTGCATCATTATGAATTAAATGCACAAGTTTTCACAGTAGCTTAGAGAAAGTTAAGATCACAAATTTTATTGGACTGAAATTTCAGAGAGGAGTGGCTCGCAGTTACCAGTAGGAGCTGTCCTTTTGTTAGAATATTTGGAGATACCATCTCTGGAATGTGGCATTGTGCCTTCAGAATAGTGAGGTCAGAAGGGGAAAGAATACTTTCCCAACCATTTTCCTAGATGCTAGCAAAACTTGTGACAGTAGGATCTGGATTTTACTGGTCCACATAAGCACGTTCTTTTGTCTGCAAAGTGTGGCATTCTTGCTAAATATACATGCTATTAAATAGAAGCAACGAGCTGGCAGTGTCAGATAACATTTCGTGTTACTTGAAATGCCCAAGGAGTCGGCGCAGGGCGGCTGAAGCACCATGGCCAGGCTGGGTCTGTCAGGCCAGCAACAAACACAAGCAATGAGGACATCCTTCTGGGGCCGCTGGCACCACGCACTATGGGCTGCACCACTAAGGATCACCAGGCTTTTCACTGAACAATGTAACTGGAAATGTTATATGCCAGAGATCTACAGTACTGTCACATTATGCACTGGCCAATTCTCTTCCTACGGTTGCACGCAACAGAATCAGCACTGAGTTTTCTGTACCCTGCAGCTGGCAGTGACAGCTGCAGTCACCTTACACTGGGTGGGAGGGAGGAACAGATGCCCTTAGCCAAGCTTTGTATCTGATCACAGAACAAGGTTATCAACACCTGGTATTTAAGGAAGTCTGAAAGTTGGAAAATATTCTTTTAGGAAGTCATTTAAAGTATCCTCAAAGCCTTCTCTGAAGATAGCCATTGATTTTAAAAAATAAAGCACATTTGTAAAATGTTTATTATCACATCTTAAAAATCTGAAGTATTATAAAGCATTTTTTCTCCCTCCACCAGCCAGGGTACTTTCTATCCCAAGATTACTGGGCTGGGCAGTGCATTAGTGTGTGGTGGAGGTGGTGCAAAGTTCTGTAGAAAGCTAAATAATTATTAAGTTCAAGGCATGTTTAGGCTGATGTTAGCATTTCTCTGTGTATTACATTCAGGAGAGTGGAAGATATAATTCATGGTTTCTTGCATTTGTTTCATTTTTCTAAAAGGAGATTTGTATAAGATATCTGTATTTTCCAGCGAAGAGGAACTTGCATCTCTATATTTGTGCAAATGACACAGCTTTCAAGTATTTCTGTAAAGGTGCTGTCAAGCTGTGTTGTGTCAGGGCCAATAAACTGGAGATTTACTGTGCTCACAGCATGAGGAGTGCTTAAGTTCTCAGTAACTGCTGGGCTGAAAGCAGATCCACTAAATGGCAACTGACTGCAGTGAACAGAGGTGTGTTGGAGCCTCTGCAGCCATGGAGCACCTGGGGGGGCCGACTTCAGCTGGAGCTTTCTTTGCTTACTGACATAGAAGATAAGGGTCAGGAGTGTCCAGGAGTGTCCAGGAGAGTCCAGCTCCACATGGACTGACCACCAAAGGGCCGGGTCCCAGCCTGCACCTGCTGCCTAGCTTTGGGGCAACCCTGATGAGTCAGGGCCAGACCTGAGAATGAGGTGTCACTCCTTGCTCAGGACACATGAAAATGAGGATTGGAACGGGATGATTTTTAGAGTTCATTCCAACCCAAGATATATATTAGTATGCAGATGAGAAGGCTCTGGGTAGACCTCATTGCAGCCTTCCAGTACCTATGGGGAGCTTATAAGCAAAAGGGGAAGTGACTTTTTACACAGTCTGATAGTAATAGGACAAGGGGGAAAGGCTATAAACTAAAAGAGGGGGGATTTAGGTTACATGTTAGGAAGAAATTCCTTACTCAGAGGGCAGTGAGGCCCTGGCACAGCTGTCCAGAGAGCTGTGGTGCCCCATCCCTGGAGGCACTCAAGGCCAGGCTGGATGGGCCCTGGGCAGCTGAGCTGGTGGGGGCAACCAGCCCACGGCAGGGGGTTGGGACTGCATGATCTATAAGGTCCTTTCTAACCTAAGCCTTTCAGTGGTTCTATGATTCTCTGAGAAGCATTGACCACGGCAGTAACAGTGATACTTTGCCACGTTATTTCCACATAGTACAGTACATCTTGAAAGCGATGTTTTGGTTTTGTTTCTGAATGTGTCCCACTTCCTACAAGATACACATTCAGTCAGGGACACCTGCACTGCCATCTTTGTGTACGTCCTCTTATGCAGTGATGCTCCTCTAGGTTGAATGCAGTTGTTTCTTTGTCTACGTGTCCAATTTCAGTCTGAATGTTCACTGTTTCCTTCAAAAATGAAGGAGTTTTTAACAAGACATGGTATTGATGAATCTATGAGTTAGAGAATTTAACCCATTATTTGAGGTGAGATG